TAATATGTTTATATATATTGCATTGTGTTCACCACCCAAAGTTAAATGTCCTTTTAATAGCCCTAGGATAGTCTTCCTAAATATAGGCTATGACATGGTAGTTCACAGTATGTACTTGCAGCCACTAAACAGGTTTTTATTTAAATGTCCATTTATTTAAATGTCATCTATTCTACGAGTTTTCGTTTGTCTTCTTTGTTTGTTGCTCTCAGGTTTATATCCCACTCGTAAGTGAAATCATATGGTTCTCAACATTTCTGTCTGATTTATTTTGCTTAGCATGATAATCTTAAGATTCGTCCTTGTTGTCATTCTTAACTCTTTTGCCAAACCATGCTCAATTCATTCCTGATCCTACAGAAATCAATCCCAAGCTTAGAAGCTGTTTCAAACATACCCATCCATGGTCTATGGTCATGCCACCCTGAACAAGCCCGATGTCTGATCTCAGCAGCTAAGCAAAGTCGGGCCTGTTAATACTTGGATGGGAGACCACCTAGGAAGACCAGGTGCTGTAGGCATAAATAATAATAATAAAATAAAATAAATAAAAATAAATGTCAAACACACCCATCCTTAACTCGAACTCTAACACCCTCGTCATCCTCATAGTGGTTCTCACACTTCAGCATGCATCAGATGCGCATAGAAAGTTTGTTAAAACGTATTGCTGGGCCCCACACTCAGAGTTTCTGACTCATGAGTTCCGGGCAGGTCCTGAGAACTTGTATTTTAACGAGTTCTCAGGTGATGTTAATGCTGCTGGTCTGACTACATGTTTGAGAACCTGCTCTGTCCTTACACAATCTCACTCCAAAACTCGGTAGTGTTCTCTACTTGAACTCTGACTATGATTGAATTCATCTATCCCTCAGATTCTGTGCCTCATCTCCTTTGTTCTCCTTGCCTTGATATCAATAAAAGAATTCATACTTCCAACCTCAGAGCCATTTACAGCGCTAAACATTCATTTTCATTAGTATCGTATCGCGTAAGTCAACAATATTACAAATCAGATATGCCTTTACAGAAGACTAAATTTTTTCAAACAAATGTGTTCAAGCTATACTTAAAATTGAAATTGAAAAATTAGATTCTTTGTCTTACATTGAATATAACGAAATTAAATAAACTATGGACAAAGATATTTTTAAGTGCTCACAGGTTTGGGACCAAGAATCAAGCTCGTCTACTTTGGCAAGACAATCACACACGCACATACACACACACACACACACACACACACACACACACACACACATACACACACACATACACACATATTCACACACCTTTACATACACACATATTATTTTCTCTTTCTCTCCTCTCCCATTAACTTGTCCAACCCCCTCCTCTCCTGCACTCCACAATCCAGGTAGATCGGTTCCTTAGATGAAGGATATCTCCACAAAATGGAAAATTTTCCCAGCCTCTCTTGGATTTTTATTGTGACTTTTGTGTCTCACTACTCAAACCACTAGGGGAAATATACACAAATAGGTAAGATTAGATGCACGCGCAGAGATACATGCATAGGGAAATAGGTGCCTCCCAATGAGAATATTAGGGAACTACAAATCCATTCAGGGGAGACTTGAAAACTCTTAATCACTGACAGGAAAATTGCATTTTATTTCTTTCAGAATACTAAAGGAAGTCATTTTCTGGAGCCACCAATACTGCTCTCCATCTTCGAATGAGCTTTTAGATTGTGTAATGAGGACAGTCTTATGACTAGAGTTTCTCTCACATCTTCCTCTTAGAGTCAGAAACACCATCAGGTATGTCTGATGCCTCAGTGCATCACTGCTCCTGGAAATTTACTTCTGTCAGACACTAAGAGCATGCTGGTTCTTCCGTAAGTCCATTCATTACTTATTACTTTGTTCTTTGTTAGGCCCTGCATTTCTCTCAACACACTACTGACGAGCACTCAAGGTGATAGATTCACAGTAAGGGCTCACTCTGGTATCACAGAGTTCACACTATACAGGTCACTTAGGGAAAATGGGGCTCGAATGTCTTGGATATTTATGGGAGTTGGGGAGCATGAAATTTCCTTCATTTAGAATGCAGCCTGAGTCTTGTATCACTTAGTTTCTAATATTAGTGAGTGAAGTTTTATCGACTAATAGCCTTCAGCAAAGCAATTAATTCAGACTGTTATTTTTTCAGTTTTATTGGAAAGTGGCAAATGAATATTGACAAAGAAGTAAGCAAGCAGACTCTTGTCCTTTGGATTCATCTCTAGATTAACCTTCAAAACACAAATATTTAAAGGAAGAAGAATCCCTGCACCTACAATTCTAAAAGCGCTCTTTCCTGGGCAAGTGGCTTAAATCCCCAGCAAGCGGTGGGGTTTATGGAGGAGGAACTGGCTCCTTTAGCAGTCCCTACGGAAAGAATTGTCCAAGCTCCTCGTTCCTCCTCTTCTCTCCAACTGGTCATTTATTGTATCACTTGAAGTGAATAGAAAGATGAACAACGTGGATTAAGATTCACCATTTGAGCTACCAATACGTGTACTTTGGAAGTGGGGGCAGTAGAAATAGATGCAGTGAGATCTCAAATCGTCTGTGTCATTCATTTTTCCATCTTTCTCTGATCCCATATTCCACAGTGAACTAAAATTTCACTGCAGCACAAATGTCAAAAGGTCTTGGACATTATGAAGTCAAATGACTAGGTGGGAGTTAAGACTTACGAGGTCTGGTTCCAGGTCAAAACTCATGAATTGGAATTATATTTCTCTTCTTGGTGCCAAGGACTTCCTGGCTTGTGAGTACAGTAAGTCAATTCATGTCTCATGTCTCTGTTTACTGTCTTGAAAGGCCCAGAATATCTCCTTTATGTCAAATTGAGTTTGATATTATTCTACTACCCTCACTACATGGTTTATCAAAGTTATTCCTAACTGGAATAAGTATCTTTTTTCAGGCCCACGGCTAACAGTTGGACATGCTGTGAAAAACAGTGCAAGGAAACCTCAGTCACACAGAGACATGACTCTGCAGATGTAGGTGGCCGTCTTAATTGTTTTCAACCATAGGTTCCAAAAGGGGAGAACTTTTATTTTTCATGTTTATCATCGTACCCGAGAACCGACCACAGTTCTAGGAATGTAAACGGTGAATAAACATTTGTTAAATGCCTAAATGAATAAGTAAATGGAAAATGGGCTACAATTTAAATTCAGCATTCAATTTTTTTTTAATTAAAAGCCCATTAGATGGTCAAGAGTATGGGGAGCACAGCAAAGGGAATGCAGTCGGCATTAATGTAATGGCTAGGTGTGGAACCAAAGGAGAGAAAGAGCAATCAGAGGGATGGTTTCATAAACTATATAAATCTCTAACCAATGTACTATATACTTGAAACTAAAAAAAAAAAAAACAAAACAAAAAACCCATTAACTTTATTTTCCTACCCAAAAGTGACAGCCAGAGGCCTGGCAAAGATAGGTATAGTTGTGGGAAGTATATTAGAAATTACCACTCTATTAAAAATTTTGGTACATATGGTCATCATAATTATAGTCCATTGAACTAAGTTGCTTGGACAAACTTTAGAAATTCACAAAATTGTGTTTATTAAAAAGTCTTTTTAATCATTCTAAAAGTATTGGTATCAATGCAGATATTCAAATTTATCTTAGCAATAAAGCATTTATCCTCTGCTTTTGCTCTAGATTCATCAAATACTGAGAAACAAGCTTCTTGCTCTCTGAAGATTGTGTACATGGCATAAGTATGCAATTTTGTGAGTATCTTAACAGTGACATTAATAAATAATATGGTCAATTAACCTACTTTTGTGTCAATACATTACTATCCTTAAAATATTAATGGTGGCTTACACAGTGAAATATCTTGAACTTTAACTGTAAGACATAGAAATAAGCCTAAAGCAATAGTTGTAGAAAAGTTGGTGGCCAAATATCAGAGTTTATATCATCTTGTCTTGACTCTTAATTCAACCAGTATGTGAAATATCTTTCTGGCTTCAGCATCCTAAGGCAACTCCTCTATCCATTATTTAATTTAGACAATAAATAGACAAGTTATGGTGTTTAGGTCTTAATTCCCAGCAAAAAAAAAAAAAAGCATATGGTTTTATATACTAGAGAAATGGACCTATCCAGATGCAAAGTATTTCAAGAGTTCAGCCATGATGTAGATTGGTGTAGCTAGAGGAAACACGAGCCACTGAAAATGGTGGCCTCCAAAAGAAATCATGTACAGGGGACATAGTAGCTAGCATCAGTTATTTAAACTCCACTCCCTTCTGCCACCATCACCATAATGGAAGAAAAATTAGACTTATTTTGTGTAGATTTATGAAAAGAATGAGTCCAGGATCATTGTGTACACATAATAAAAGAGACAGATTTTGCTCAACATGAAGAAGTACTTTGAGAGAACCAGAGCTCCTCAAGATGGAAATGGACTGAATTGTTCAGCAAATCCAGATGCCACCTAGCAGAATGGGATCTACAGGGAGCTAGAGGGAGGGTTTTCAAACCATTTTACAAAATCCTGAGAGTTCTCAGCAGCTTTCTGAGAGCAGAAAAGCAAAGGGGCTCAAGATTCCAACCCACAGTTGCATTCATGTCTGATTTTTATTGGACTTCTACATATGAAACTCTGACTATGGAGGCAACTTTACAGCTATTTTTGTGTCAGATTTATACTCAACTGTGCTTCAAAGTAAAAGGATATACCCAAAGTTTACAGTGAGACTGGGGGTTATAGAAATATTTGAAATGAAATGAGATTTGTTCCAAATCAATCTCCAAATGGGCCAGTGTATCTCGGAGTTACTGGCTTTGCACATTGATATAAAACCCTTAAGTCTCTGATCTCCAGTTTCATAATCTGCAAAAGAGAGGAATAAATCATACCCCCTATAGCTCAAAGTGTCATTTGGAAGACAAAATGAGATAATGTATAGAGAAATACTTTGTACATTCTCAAGCAATTTGTTAGTAAAACCTTCAAATGTTCATTACTATTCACTCCTTAATTGCTTCTGTGTCTCTAACAGCTTTGGGATCCCAGAACACAACAACACATTTTGTGACTGAGTTTGTCCTCCTGGGTTTCCCTGGTCCAAGGGAGATGCAGAACTTCTTCTTCTCGTTAATCCTGGTAGTCTATCTGCTGACGCTGCTGGGGAATGGGGCTATTGTCTGTGCCGTCAAATGGGACAGGCAGCTCCACACGCCCATGTACCTCTTCTTGGGAAACTTTGCCTTCCTAGAGATGTGGTATGTTTCCACCACTATTCCAAACATGTTGGCTAACATCCTCTCTGATACCAAGACCATCTCCTTCACTGGCTGCTTCCTTCAATTCTATTTCTTTTTCTCACTGGGCACAGCAGAGTGTTTCTTCTTATCAGTTATGGCTTATGATAGGTACCTGGCCATCTGCCGCCCACTCCATTACCCCTCCATCATGACTGGGAAGTTTTGTCTGATCCTGGTCTGTGTTTGCTGGGTGAGTGGATTTCTTTGCCATCCAGTCTCCATTGTCCTTATCTCCCAACTTTCCTTCTGTGGACCCAACATCATCGATCACTTTGTGTGTGACCCAGGCCCATTGTTTCCACTCGTCTGCATCCCTGTTCCTTCTACTGAGCTTATCTGCTACACAGTCACCTCAATAAACATCTTTGGACCCTTCCTTTTCATCTTGGGATCTTATATTCTGGTACTCAGAGCTGTGTTTCGTGTTCCCTCTGGTGCTGGTCGAACTAACACCCTTTTTATTCAGATTTTTATTATCCCACATCTTTCTTTAAGGTTATTTGAAATTTTCAAACAATGTGATATTGTTTTTTTTGTCACTTTGGTATACTCAGTTGTGACTCCGCTCTTAAATCCCCTTATCTATAGCCTCCGAAACAAAGACATGAAAGATGCCCTAAGGAGAGTTCTGGGATTAGGAATTAACCAAAACTGAGACATCTTTTGAAAGAGAGGGAGAATGTGGCACTTCTGACCTTAATTATTTATAACAACAATAGAGAATAGCTTTGATAAATCATGTTCTGGCTCACATTTAAGTAGAGAGAGAGACTTATTTTTCACAATTCATAGCAGTTCAAGTTCAGCTTATTCATGATAAATGTTCAATAAAACATTTTTAACAAGTATGACCTCACTGAGTAAACTATATGGTGTTATTATGTATATATTTTTTCTGTGGTGTATCTTTCCTGGTTTAATATTAGCTGGTGGAAAAAATGAAATGCATGTGTATTTGAAGTCTTTCAAGAGAGTATACAGTCTTCTAAATTCAGAAACCAAATATTTTTAAAGACAATGAGTCTAGGGCCACAAAAGATAAATAAATAAATAAACCAGTAATGGACATTTTTTCATTGTCTGAGGCTTTCATACCAAAAACAGAGTATGTCTCATACCTCTATCACTTGGAGATAAAGTACAAACTCCTCTTCCTGCCTTTAAAAGTCTTTGCTCCATAAACTGCTCCATGCTGTCTTCTCTCTTACTGGTCCACTGTCTAAGCCCTGTACTTCACAACGCTCAATCTTGTTATTTTACCTTAAATGCATTTTCTCCCAATCAGGCATTTTTACTCATAGTGCTTCCTCCCCAAATCAGTTTTGACAACCCCAATACTTCTTGTAATATGGAATAACAATGCCCTATACAAATTTTTACACCTCTCAGAAAGCTGTAGGGCAAAGTCAGAAAAGTATTCAGAGAAATTATACCAAAAACAAATTCCGTTTTTGTGCCCAAACACTATGCTGAAACAAGAAAGCCGTCAGGTGAGAGGCCTATCTACTAAAAATGAGTGTATATCCTTTGAGTTATGGTCATACTGAGTGGTGAGCCAAAAGGATAGGCCTGCTGGTGCTAGATGAGGAAATACTCTAGTACAGTATTTCTCAAACCTTTCCACCAGCAAAATGGTCAGAAAACATGGGGCATTTGGGGACAATATTTCTTTGAAATTCATAGTTTTATCTATCTATCTATCTATCTATCTATCTATCTATCTATCTATCTCTGTGTGTGTGTATGTGTGTAATTTTTTTTTTCTTGCCATAGCTGGTGATTTTAACCCAAGCATCAATGTGGTCTTCTGTAGATTTGTTTTAAACTCTAAATATGTTTTTTTCTGCATTTCATTTTTTTATTTGTTTTAGGTATACAGTATATTAGTTAGACATTTACATAGTTTATGAAACAATCCCCCGATTATTCTATCACCCCTCTGGCCCTACACATAGCCATTACATTACTGTGGACAACATTCCCTATGTTGTGCTCCCCATCCCCATGACCTATCAACTACTAATTGGTACTTCTTTAACCCTTAACCTTTTTCACGCAAGCCCCCAACCTCCACCCCTCTGGTCCTCAACAGATTGTCCTCTATTTCTGTGAGTCTCTTTTTGATTAGTTTGTTCTTTTTGTTCCTTAGATTCCACATATAAGTGAAAATATATGGTATTTATCTTTCTCTATCTAACTTAGTTCGCTCAGCATAATAACCTCTAGGTACATTCGTGTCATTGCAAATGGTAGGATTTCCTTTTTTTTTATTGGACGAGTAATATTCCATTGTGTATATGAACCATAACTTCTTTATCCAATCATGTGCTGATGGGCATTTAGATTGATTCCATATCTTGGCTATTGTGAATAGTGTGTCCATGAATGCAGGGATATACAGATCTTTACAAATTATTGTTTTGGTTTTCTTTAGATAAAGACCCAGAAGTGCCATTGCTGGGTCAAAAGGTAAATCCATTTTTAATTTTTGAGAAACCTCCAGACTGTTTTCCATAATGGCTGCACCAATTTGCAATTTCACCAACACTGCAGGAGAGTTCTCTTTTCTCCACATCCTTGCCAATACTTGTTGTTTTTTGATTTATTGGTAATAGCTATTCTGACAGGTATGAAGTGATATTTCATTGTGATTCTGATTTGCATTTCTCTGATGACTAGTGACCTTGAGCATCTTTTCATATGTCTTTTGGCCATCCGTATTTCCTTTTTGAAGAAATAGCTATTCAGGTCTTCTGCCCATTTTTTTAATTGGATCGTTTGTTTTTAGGGGGTTGAGTTGTATGAATTTTTTACATATTTTGGATACTAACCCCTTATCATATATATCATAAACGAATATCTTCTAGTTAGTAGGATGTCTTTTCATTTTTTTTATGGTATCCTTTGTTATACAAAAATGTTTAGTTTGATATAGTTCTATTTGTTTATCACAAACTATATTTTCTTCTCCATATACACATATACTTGGTATAATACAAAATTATTTTCTTTGAGTAAAATTGTCCTTCAGAAAGGAATTTAATTTGGGCTTTTGTGTATCTCATGGCAAAAAAAAAATCACATATCCTGTTTGAGAAACACAAACTTAAGGAGACCAGGGGGTCCCACCAGAGTCAATGCTGCACATTATTTTTAATAAGCCCTATGGGCCAACTTTACAGAAATATTAATGTAACCCACAAGCAAGAAGAAGTTTCCTGGAACCTTCTTGGAAGCATGAAAAAGTTATACATCTCATGGAAAGATACCCAAGAATTCTCGGCAATGGCTAAAAATGACACAAATTAAAACTATCACATAGTTTCAACAAACCCTATAGGAAATAGGCTACTAAAATTTTGTGGTGCAAAAGTAGTAAAATAAGCCATACATGAAGCTCTCACACAGGGATCCCACATTAAAGTCAGTAAAAGAGAATCTTCATGACTTCCTTGTAAAGCTTCCTGATCCACAGGAGATGTTTTCTCTGATAGGCACTACTGCTATGATACACCACAGGTGGGCCTATTTCTCTATAACTTTGTTCATTCAATAAACTAAAGTAAAATCTTACAAAGAGCGAATTTTAAGGGAAACTTGAGGCACCAGAAAGGAGAGTTTTAGAAGAGAATCTCTTGGTGATTTTACTTTTCTTCTCCCATATATCTCAGATGTTATATTCATCTTTTCGTCTCCCATACATCTCAGATGTTATATTCATCTTTAATGACATATGTTTTAAATGTATATGAAGCATAATAAATCACCATGTGAAATAATCATCATGAAGTAACTCTGCAGGACAGAAGAGCTTGGCACACAATATTAAAAGTGTTGAAAACCCAGGATCTACAACCAAGAATATTTTATCCAGCTAAGCTATCATTTAAAGTCAAAGGACAGATAAAGAGCTTCCCAGACAAAAATAAGCTAAAGGAATTTATCAACACAAAGCCGGCATTACAGGAAATGTTGGAGGGCCTTCTTTAAGAAGAAAAAATAGATATCAAAAAACAAAAATAAAGAATGGTAATAACTACATTTCTATCAACTAGTACCTCAAATGGAAAAGAATTAAGTGCTCCAACCAAAAGACAGAGTGGCTAAATAAATAAGAGAAAAAGACCCTACCGTACGCTGTCTACAAGAGACTCACTTCAGATTAAAAGGCACACATAGACTAAAAAGAAGAAAATGGAAAAAGATATTGCCTTGATGGACCTAGAGGGTATTGCACTGAATGAAATGGGTTGAATAAAGAAAGACAAATATCGTGTGATTTCATGTACATGTGGAATCAAAAGAAAAATAAACAACAACAAAAACAACAAAAGCAAAAATAAACTCATAGATACAGAGAATATTTAAAGGGATACTAGATGAGAGGGGAGTTGAGCGAACAGCAAAAAAAGGCAAAGGGATTGAGAGGTACAAATTGATAGTTACAGAATAGACTTGGAGATGTAGAGTGTAGCATGGGGAAGATGGTTAATAATGTAATAGATATGTACAGGGGAGGAGGGGTACTAGATTTAGAGGGGTGATCGCTTTGCAAGTTGTGTGGATCTCTAGTCACTATGTTTTACAACTGAAACTGGTACATTTTTTAAGCCAACTATAATTGAAAAAACTCACTGAATTGTACAATGTAAATATAAGCAACTAATTATCTATTATATTTCAGTAAAGCTGGGGGGGAAAAAAGAACAAAATGAAATGCACATCATCATGAATTTTTAACAAACACCACACATCAATGTTGGATACACTAAGAGACTGTAAAGCCATTTTCACAATCTTTAGCTCATCATCCTCATCAACAGTGTACAAGAGAAGCTGGAAGTTTGATTGAAGCCATGAGTAAAAATATGTTTGGTGAGTTGTTAGTATGCAGTCCCCATAAGGAAAATGAGGATTGCACCAGGAGAACCACTCAGAAGGCTCGACTTTGTCCCCTGGAGTATGAAGTACACCTGCACTGTCCCTGATTCTACCTGGAAAATATGTAAACACTACAGAAGAGCTACTGGCTCTGAGAGCAGAGAAGGAAGAAATGCACTACAACAGGAGCAAATTGAATTCCCACCAACAGCAAGCAAATATGGAATACCTACATTTGGTCTAGTTAGAGCTCATGGAAGGTAATTTGAACCATCTTGAAAAGGATTTCATCCAAAAGTACTACTTGGTGAAGTAAGGCAACCCAAAAGTGGATCTATATGGAGTGACTCACCGGAATCCAGGGGTGAAAAGGCATAAAAAATTATACACCTTATAATAAGTATAATGAATCATTCTAGAGCAAACATCTAATAGCCACTAGCAAAGACAACAAATAGAACATTTCAAGAAATCTGGAAGTTTCTTTGTTTTTGATCATGCCTATTCCTCCCCTTCTATTGTAAACTTATTTGCTTTATAATTTGTATTTCTCTACTAAAAAATAATTTAGATTTGCCTGCTTTAAAGCTTTATGTATGGCTTATCCCAGAACCATTGCTTGAGGAAGCTTTCCTTTTTCCATTGTATGTTTTTGGCTCCTTCGTCTATAATTATTAGCCCATATATACGGGGATTTAATTCTGGGCTGCCAATTCTTTTCCATGGGTTGTCTGTCTGTTTTTCTGCCAATGCCATGCTGTTTTGATTGTCACC